ATCGGAATATATTATCTCTAGTAATCGATTACTTTTTGTTTTTTCTCTAAATGGAAATCTTGTCATTTTTCCACTCACACAAGACTCACAAAACTCTACAACCTGTACTTTAATATTCTCTAACCCTTCAACCATTCCCTTTTTGATTATTTCTCTTAATCCTGATAATCCTATATGCCCATATCTCTTGTGCTATTTTACATAATCATTTTCGCTAGTTTCAACATTCATGCATTCAACTTTTACTAAAGAAAACTCAATTTCATACAAATTCCCTCGTTTGCCTATTCCTACTACTTGTTCATATTTACCTATTATCTTTACTGTGAAATTTTCAAATACTATTTTCATGTCTGATATTACTAGTTTCTTAACACTTAATACATTCCTTCTTAAATTAGGTACTTACAAAACGTTTCTAATTGTACAATCAACTTTCTTATGCCTTACATTCCTTACTGCTTTGATGCTTCCAACTTCCATGGCCAATAAAACACCATTGTCCTTTGCAACATCAACTGAATTTAGATCTTTCAACATAACTAAACTCGAAAAAACTTCCGTTTGATTGACCATGTGATCGGTACACCCAGAATCAATAAAAAACTGTAATCCTTCCACATTTCTTGGTTTTTCTCCTATTTGCTTTTCTCCAAGAAAACAAATGTTTTGGTTCGACTGATGTCTGTGAACCCTGCTGCAACCCCCTCTTGAACTGAAACCTCTTGCAGAGCCTTTTGTATTAATATTTCCTCTTGCGTTAAAACCTCGTTTGGCATTGTAATCTCCTTTTGCATTATAATCTCCTCTTGCATTGTTACCACCTCTTGCATTGTAACTTTTATTTTGATAACGTTTTCGTATAAGAAAGACCTTAACTACTTGGTGAATTGTAAGTATACTGCCTAATCCACTGTAATTACTGTTTTACGGTTTTGCCATTTATGTTGTGGACAAAAACGCCTTATGTGATTGGTTGAGCCACATCCATTACATTTTTTGATAATATATTTTTGTGCCACAAAGGCTGTTGTCAATCCACTGCTATTCACATTCCTATTAAATAACATTTCCTTTTCATATTTTGTCAAAAGCTTATTCTTTGCATCTTCATTAGTTGTATTTTCAATAACTGCACATACAGTGCCATAAGACTTGGTGAAGTTAACAACAAATTATTACATACTTTTTCTTCATCCTTTACTTCGCAACCAATGAATTGCCGCACAATATCCTCAAATTCTATAATATGTTTCTCAAGTGACTCACTCTCTCTCAATTTTAGTGATCATAACTTTCGTTTCAAAAACATTTACCCTATGTTCTCATGTCGATCTTTCAAAGCTGTCCATCACCATCTGCCATGCATTATGTTTATCTCGAATTACCTATATATTCTGTTGAGCATTATCCAAACATTGAACCACTATAGACTGCCACTGCTTTTGTCTTATTACTTATCTTTTTCTTTTTCTCTATCATCTTTGTACAGGGTGACCCGTTTATTTTGTCCTATCTCGGTATATGGAAATCTAGATATTCTATGAAAAAAAGTTTTATACAAAAGTTGTTGGGTTTAAATCATTAATTTGTTTATTTGTATGTTTCATTTTGATGAAAGTCCGACTTTAAAATATTTATTTTTAACGTCTAAAGGCGGGCACAGACATGCGGTATTCGGCGAGTCTCGAATGACAAATATTTGCTATTTGGCATGTAGCGATTAGTATGTAAGGGTTGCTCGGGCAATTATAGCGAATTTTTGCCCGAGCAACCCATACACACTTATCGCTACTTGCCGAATAGCAAATATTTGTGATTCGAGACTCGTCGAATACCGCATGTCTGTGCCCGCCTTAACGTTTCTACAATAATCTAATAATTAGCCATTCCCCGAAAATAGCCGTAAATAAATCCGAAACCGTGCATAACAACCCTATCAAACTATATATATATTTATATTTGTCTTTAGAGAAAGGATGCCACTCTACCGAAGTCGTTCAGACCTATATGTCTCACGTTGTTCTTACTGAAGACAGTTGAGAAAGTTGTGAATAACTATATCAGAACAAATGTTCTAGAAAAGACGCCACTACATCCTAGGCAACATGCTTACAGAGCGGGCAGATCAACAGAAACCGCTCTATTTGAACTCACTGACAGCATACAAAACACACTGCTGAATAACGAAGTAGCCATCTGCGCCTTCTTAGACATAGAGGGGGCTTTCGATAACACCTCTCATGAGTCAATAAAGAATGCGCTTGTCAGAAAAGGAGTGGACAAAACCACATCCACCTGGATGTTTGAAACGTTAGCCACCAGAACTGCAGAAGCGGATGTGGGGGAACAAACCATACAAGTCACCACAACGAGAGGATTTCCACAGGGAGGGGTACTCTCACCCTTGATGTGGAGTCTAGTAGTCGATGATCTACTAAATACACTGACAGACCAGGGCCGGTATTCTGGTTCTCAAAAACGCTCACCGCTTTCTAGTCGCTCGGCACTTTAAATGCAAATTTACATTGAAAGTGCCGAGTGACTGAAAAGCGGTGAGCGTTTTCGAGAACGAGAATACCGGCCCAAGGGCTTCAACTACCTTGGCTACGCCGATGATATTGTCATCATAGCCAGAGGCAAACACGGAGGAATACTCTGTGACCTTATAGAAAAAGCACTCCGAACCACGAAGGAATGGTGTCAGACAGTGGGACTGAATCTTAACTCATCAAAAACTACACTGGTAACATTTACAAAAAGAACGAAACTCCCGTACTTGAGGAACATTCGCCTCGATGGAAGCAGGCTTCACTGGAAACAAGAAGTTAAATTCCTAGGAATAACCCTAGACTCTAAACTCCTTTGGAACCGACACATAGAGAACATAACAAACAAAGCAATTCCGGCATTCATGGTATGTAAAAACATTGCGGGCAAAACGTGGGGTTGTAACCCATCGATCTTATGATGGATGTATACGATGATAGTGATACCTACCTATCATCACCTACGGAGCGGTAGCCTGGCACAGCCGAACCCAGCTAGTAACGGCTAGGAAAACCCTAGGAAAGGTACAAAGACTCGCATGTCTATGCATAACAGGAGCAATAAGAACATGCCCAACCGCGGCAATGGAAGTCATCCTAGACCTAACACCACTTCACACAATAGTGAAGCGGGTTGCCAGTGAATAATGTCTAAGACTGGCGAAGTCTACAAGGGAAAACGCACTTTGACAGAGCTTTCCCTCTCCCAAACTGTGCACACCTCATGGACTTAACAAAAGACGCGATTGTTGATAAATTTAATTTCGAGAAGAACTTTTCCATCGAACTAAGTACAAAGAACAGATGGAACATAGAATGTATCCAGTCCCTTAAAGCAAACACCATCAAATGGTTCACAGACGGCTCCAAAACTGCTTAGGGGACAGGAGCCGGAGTATTCGGGCCACGAACTAGATACTCGGAGCCAATGGGCAAATCACCAAGCATATTCCAAGCCGAACTTCATGCGATCGGAAAATGCATGCAGTTCAACCTGAACAGAAGGTACCGAAAACGAGAAATTGTAATAATGTCTGACAGCCAAGCAGCTATCAAAGCATTGAGCTCGCCGGTAATCAATTCTAAGATAGTATGGGAATGTCTACAGAAACTCGATGAGCTGGGGAAGGAAAACAAAATAACCCTACTCTGGGTTCCTGGACACATAGAAGTCGAGGGCAATGAATGCGCAGACGAACTAGCAAAAACGTGAGCGGCCACTCCCTTCACTGGGCCAGAACCATTCTGCGGCGTCGGAAATGCGCACCTCCAAGAAATCCTCAAAAAGGAAGAGAACCGGCTAAGGAACAAACAATGGCTAGACCAACCAGGACTACGACAGGCCAAAGATCTACTGGGTAGCTACAACCAAAAAAGATCTGAACTGCTGGTCAACCTTAGCAAGAAAAGTCTCAAAACTCTAACCGGGTTTCTCTCGGGACATTGCAGACTGATTAAACAACTACATAATCTGGGGTTGGAAGAAGGTAACACTTGCAGATTCTGTGAAGACGGTGAAGAAACACCTCACCATCTTCCACTGAACTGCGTTGCCGTAAGCCGCTGAAGAATGAAGAACTTGGGAAGTCCCCTTATACAGCTGGAAGACATTCCAGCCCTGGAACCGCTAGATATCCTAAAATTCCTGAAGGACCTAGGACTAGAGGGGCTGCTTTAAGCAGGAAACCCGAACTTAGCAGCAGAAGGAGGGGTACAATAGATCAACCTTGGTCGCAGTGCAACTGACACCTCCAACACATACATACATACATTCATTTGTCTTTAAAAGCGCTATCAAAAAATATAAAAATATACAGGGTATTATATTAAAAAAATTAAATCTGATGTGTCACACTTTTTTGACCCTGTATATGCAAATATAAAAAAACAAATTAATGATTTAAACCCTACAACTTTTGTATTTAACTTTTTGTCGTGAAATATCTAGATTCCCATATACCGAGATAGGACAAAATAAACGGGCCACCCTGTACATATCTACTGTTACTAAATTCATATTCAATCCATTTTGCCACTCCTTTCTCCTTTAGTAGATAACACTTGGACTCTAAATTTCCAGGCTCCATAATTATTACCATTTAGTAATTCAATACAGTAATTATTGTTCTTTGCTACAGCCATTTTTTTTTCTAATTTTTTTTTCGCTCACCTGCTACCTTCTACTCTTGACTTGACTTTGTATTTAATTTCCTGCCTTGGAAACTGCCTGGGGTTCTGGGTTCTATAACCTCTTGTTTTCTGCTTCTTAAAGGAATTAAACCACTTAACTTTTTTAAATATCCGTTTACTTTATTTTAAACAAACTTCTCTTCTTAAAGGATTTTTAACGTACAAACTTAACTGTCACTGTCAACATTACATTTTAATTTTTTTAGACAATCTACATTCTGCAGAAGTACGTAAATATACAGGGTGTTTAATTATTTCCAGATATTACAGCGGTACTGGTGACAAGAGCATGCGCGGCTACGAATTTTTCCCGAGAGAAACTCTCCAGCAACAAATCGGCAACAACGCGCAAGGCTCCAGCACTGGAGCTTTTCTCCAAGCCAGCGGCGAAAAAATCTACGCGTCTCCTCCCGTAGAAATCGCTTCCTCGACCTCGGACTTTCTCCTCACTCCAGACCTACCCGCCGCAATCCCCCAGGAGCAAAACGTCAGGAACAACAAAAAACGAAAATCCAGGAAATCGGTGCAACGAGAAAAACTGGAAAAAACGTTCAAGGAAAAGGGATTTTTGATACAAACGCAACAGCTGGAATCGGCGGAGGGCGCCACTTATTGTAAATTCAGGCAGTTAAGGAAGTTCACGCGCTACTTGTTCCGATCCTGGAAGGATTATTTGCCTGGAAATGTGAGAGAGCTTAGCGAAAACGAACAGCTGGAGTTGCAACACGCCGAACAATCAGCTTCAGCTGCCGGACTAGAAATTCCAGATGCCATTGAAAATTTGACAGGCGACAATAAGTGATTTTGTTTTTGTAATTTCTAAATTATTGTAAGTATTAAAATTTATTACAGCCACAAGTATAAAGTGTATATTACATCTTCAATGTAATGTACAAAATTTTATTTGCAGTCATTCATTTTGTAGATAAAAGCATTTCATTTTTTGCTTTTATAATTTCATCATTATTACACTTTTTTTTTTCTCTCATTCCCAATCATTCTTACGTAATGTAAATTTTATAAAGGATCAATAATTATTAATTTTCTTTAGATTCGCCCCTAGATCAATCTAAAATAAGTCTGAAAATATGAATTTAATAAAAAGCATTTCAAGTAACATTTTACTAAAACTTGTGTGTTTTTTTTTTATTACGTTATTGTAAAAATGTAGATATTAATAACAAGTAACCAAAGATTTGCAAAAATTATTGTATAAAAAAACAATTATAGGTAATACGATGCTAATGAGAATTTCGGCCCTGTGGGCTTGATTTTGTATATTATTATTATTATTGTTATTTTTTAGGTGATTTTTTTGTCTAATCTAGTCGATTTTGTTGTAGAGCAATTTTTAATTATTCTATTTGTTAATTCAATAAAAAAAAATATTTGTTCTTAATTTTGTGTTTAATTTATTTAAGCATTATGTTTTAATTTACTTAATCTGAGGAGGTATTAATGAATTACTTTATTAACTTTCTATTGACATACAAAAATAAGTGGGTCTATTAATTTTTGCCAGTTAATAATATTTTAATAAAAGGAGTGTCTTAAAGCGTTTAACCAAAACTTAAACCCACACAAAATATTTAAATTCTTTTCGGTAATCTGCGTGTTAGTGAGCTCAGCTCCTAATAAATGTCTTTGACAAGTGGATTAATAAGTACTTATACAAATAACCAAATAATGAATCATGCAGTTTTAAGAAAAAAATCCAGGCATAAACAGTTTTCAGTTTTCGTTTTCTCAAATACTTAGTTCTTATAGGTCAAATAAAATAGTAATTAGTGTGTGTGTGGGGTGTTCTAAATTAATAATTACCAACACAGGTGTTTTAAATTAATTAATCGTTTTCAAGCCGGCGTTGTCGTGAAGGAATTTAATAGGAAAAACCTACAACACTGTATTTGGTAGAAAGGTAGATGGTTTTCGCACGGGGGCGGCAAAATTTTGCGCGGAGGAGGCGGTTATACCGTGTTTGGGCAAAAGAACCTCGACGAATAGAAGGTCGCACACCTAGAAACCGATTTTTTTTTTTTTTGCTTAAATGTGTTGATTTTTGGAAGCTTGTAGTCAGAGAACCTGTATTACTCTTTGGGAGATTTTGGGTTTACTAATAGGAAGAAGACAAACAAAGAGGATAAGTTAAAGAAAAAAACTAGAGCAGTTGAAAAATTAACGATACAGCCATTATTATTCTCACGGCTCTAAGGTGCGTGACAGAAATCTTGGGTTCGTTAATTCCAAAATCAAACCAATTAACAACAATAATTTATTCCACGTTACTACACACTCTGACACTAATTACTTTATTCAACTTAACTCTTTACAACTCTTACAAAAATTCACTATCTCGTATCACAGTCAATCTTGAGCTTAAAAACTACTAACTAATACCGGCCTTTATATATCCGTAATCTATTCTTGCAAAATCCAGAATAAATGCGATAGACCTTTTTCCCGAAGAGCGACGCTAAATCTAGAATCAGCAGTCCAATTCTGTACACCGTGGCGGAAGCGCTACTTTCTGTGACATTGCCCTCCTCTTAAGGTTGATCGTACCGATCGACTTCGCGCCCATGATATTTCTTCAATCTGTCCAAATGTACAATATTCATCTTATTCCTGGTGTTGCGCTGAGCTCGATAAACCAAATCATTGAGCCTCGTGATTATTCTGTAGGGTCCTTATACAGGGTGTCCAAGATTCGATGGTTTTGGGGGGTTTCGGCTATTTCTAAAGGAGTTGGAAAAAATCTGACCCCCACTTGCGAGCCTCGATTTTCAAGAGAAATTGACCGGTGAAAACCGCATCTCGGTATGTCGAGTTGTTTTTGAAAAGTTTGGAGTTTGGCAGGAGGGCTATAACTTTTTTTATTTATGAAAATTTGGTCAACTTTTCCTCTTGCAGCTTAAAAACGAATCGAAACATCGAGATGCGGGTTCCACCGGTCAACTTCTCTTGAAAATCGAGGCTCGCAAGTGGTACCCGAAACCCGCTAAAACCATCGAATCTTGGACACCCTGTACATACCTAATATGTTTCCGATTGAACATCGCAGGTAAGTTCGTTTATTCGGTTAATTATATCTCGGCGCTTCGTCCTATGATATCATACTTGGTAGCTGTTTCAAGCTTTTAGGTTTTTTCTTCCTCAAAATGTTTCATAAGCCTGCTCTAGGCCTATGCATAACAACTACCTAGCTCCTTAACAGTGTTGCCAGCCTATTACAATTGTAACAGATCTGTTACTTTTTAGAGGAGCTTATTACCTTTTTACCTTTTTAAAAATCCTATTACCTTTTTTTATATGTTTTGTTCAATGACATTTAAATGATAACTATAGCTTAAAATGACATTTCACATGTGAAAATGTCATTTTAAGCTATGCTCAATATACTTTTTTTACGAATCACGAGTTTTATTTTTCATTGGAAGAATGACACCATTAAAAGTTAATTTCAAATATTGTTTATTCATGATCAAAAAAAAAAAGTTACATGAACTTCCATATATGGCCCAGCTGTAAAAAAATCTATTACCATTTCTTAAAATCTATTACCATTTTAAAGACAAACCTGTTACTCTTTATGAAAGCAACCTGGCAACACTGCTCCTTAAGCTTATACGTCTAAGCAGTCCTTGGCTCCTCCGAGGGATCGTAATTAGGATGTTATATTTGAAAAAAGATAATGTTTCTATCAAAATTTGTATTAAAAAGATTACACTATTACACAAGTAAAAAAGGTCATGAACAAATAATTTATCCTAAAGTTGTCTATTGCTCCTTAGTTAGGGCTTTAGCAAAATCGTGTAATTTTTGGTCAGGTAGATGGTAATGCGTAGCAAACATCTGGGATGCGTTTGTCCAACCTGCTGTCTCCTTATCACTTGTCAAGAAGCCTCGTTTTTGAAGGCTGTAGACGTAGCTGCATGCCTCGTAGAGTATGCACCAAATATCCTGGTATCAATTCCAGCCTCTGATAGAGTAGACTTAATCCAGTTGCTGATAGTACTAGTACTTGCTGTGTTAAATGGAGGACGAGTACATGAAAATAGAAATTCCTGACATTCAGATCTATATTCAGCGGATCGTGAGACGTATGCTTCCAAACAGGAGGCATACAGACAAATCTGGGGTTTATCTTGAAAATATGGGATTTGCAAGCAGGGGTTATTAGTGTTGCTGCTGGTAGTTTTTATGTGATCTGGTATAAATATCCGTAAACCTGATGAATTTATGATTATGTTTTCAACTCTTTTTCTCACCAGTGTTTGTAATCGATGTCCAGTGATTAAAGCCAGAAGGGTTGCAGTCTTTCGCGATAGGGCTATTAGGGATAAAGATTCATTGGAAACTTTTGTTCCCAGGAAATCTAAAACTATGTTAGCGTTCCAAATAAAATCATATTTTCTTCTAGGTGGCCTTAACTTAAAAATGCTTTTCATAAACCGCCATATATTTGGTTATAACCTATATCATATTTATAGGCACTTTGATATTGCTTGATAGTAGAAGTCTTCAAGGGATCTCATAAGAATAGGTATTGCAGATTGCAGCTTCTGGATAACTCTTCTTCAATAATGCTCTCCTGATAAGAGCCCTGCCTCCAGGGAAAGGTTCAGTTGCTTGAAGCACCTGGAAGGAAAAATAATACGGTTATCCTGGATGGAAAATAATTTGATCTTTAATAAGCATCTTTCTCCATAAGGGGTACCAAGGTTGTGAGGGCCATCTTGGAACCACTAAAATACCTGTGGCCCTGTCTAGCGGTATTTTGTTCAATACTCGAATCACTAGACAAAAGGGAGGGAAAGCATGAAAGAAAAATTCTCTCCAAGAAATGGTAAAAGCGTCAATAACGACTGAGCCTAGATCTGGAAGATATTAGGCATATTTTCCGTTCACAATCCGATGTCCACAGGTAGATACAGGTAAAATCACCTTTCAATGCTATTTGATAGGGAAAGGTGATAGATTTACCTGCACCTGTGGACATCGGATTGTGAACAGGATATCTTATATAGGACATTTCTTGTTTATGTAAGATGCAAAAAGGTCAATAGTTGGATTGCCCAAAAAATTAGTGATTATTTTAAACAAAGTATTATTTAATTCAAATTCTGTTTCAGTGGGTAGTATCCTTGATTGGTGGTCAGCTATAATGTTTTGAGTTGAAGGAATATAGCTTGCTTTAATCCATAATTCCCGTTGTTTATGCTACTGCCATAGATCCTTTGCCAATTTTGCTAAATGTGGGTATTTTACATTACCCATACGATTGATATAAGCTATGGTAGTGGTGTTGTCTATTCGTAAAAAGATATTTTTTGACTTTTGATTTGCAAAAGTTTTTAGACCTAAAAATACACTTTTTAGTTCAAGAAAATTTACATGCTTCTCCTCATCTTCCATGGTCCACCAACCATGAGTCCTCGAAGAACCACAAACAGCTCCCCAGCCAGTCAAGGTGGAATCTGAGAAAATTTCCAAATCAAAAGAGTCTGCACGAATTTGGTTTTGGGAACTTGGTATAGAGGTTTTCCACCATATTATATCAGGCTTTACACTTTCAGGAATGTTCACCTTACTGTTAAAATTTTGACTGTTTGCTATCAAGGAGTTAGTTTTAAAACTTTTTAGTTCCCTTGTGAAGAGCCATCCATATTTGACAGCTGGACAAGCTGCAACTAGAGAATCAATTACCTTCGCTAGAAATAGTACAGTAGAGGATCTAGACTTTAACAGCTCCTCTATAAGGTTCAGGATCTTCATCCTCTTTTCAATGATAATGTCATGCTAGAACTGGTAAATAAATAATCCAAATAAACACATTTATTGGAAAGATCTAGACTGCTCTTTTCATAATTAAATATAAAACCTAGAAATTCAAGGAATGCAATCTTTATATGTTTCTTACACGTTTCATAATCATCTGCTATAATTAAAAAATTATCTAGGTATACTACACAATATACACCTAGGCTTCGTAAATAGGTAAGCACTGGTTTTGTTAACTTAGTAAACGTGTAAGGAGCAGACGAAAGTCCAAAAGGCAATGCCTTATACTAAAAAAAAATTTCTCCAAATTTAAAACTCATGTATTAACGATGGTGTTTGTGAACTGGTATTGCGTAATAAGCATCTTCAAAATCTATGGTGTACATGAAAGATTTGGGCTTTATGAGCCTCAAGCCACTCTATATAGTCTTCCATTTTGAAATGAACTTCTCTGATAAATGTGTTCAAGACTTTGAGATTTAGAATGAATCTGGCTTTTTTGTTAGCACCGGCGTATACAAGGGGGGGTAATAGGGGTAATTACCCCCCCAAGATCGTTGCGATGGACAAGAAATACAATATACCCTACACTTTACAAATAAATCTATTTTTTATATT